TCGACAAGTAACCCCCAAATGTATAAAGACCATGCAATTTTCCGTTGTCTTCAACCAAGGAGATTCTTATTTCGTCAACAAAAAGTGAATCAGATCCTTCTAGGTAAACTAAATTCAGCTGCGATTCAGTTAGTCTTAGGTGTACATCCTTATTCTTAAAAATGCCTACACTCAGTTTATCCACATTAATGAAGGTCAGTTTGGAAAATCTGAAGTCCACAATGTTAATTCACAGTTCACACACCTCATTTTGACCCAGAGTCTCAAATTCCTACCTCATTAAAAACTTTACTAAAGCGACTATCAAGCAGAGTGATTTAAACTGTTCGCATACAAGAGACAGATGGTACAGAGAAACACAAACTTCAGGTAGTAAAAAAATAATAATTTATATTTGATTTTGGACTGCGCCTTTGTACTTGAGAACCGGATGTGAAATTTACAACATGTCAAAGTAGACAGTGGAGCCAAGCTCTGATGAGGTTACTACTCCAGGCTGGGAAAGCTGTTCAGCCCCTCTGGTTTGTTTCACTTTTGTCCTTGAACCCCCAATGCCCAGCACAATGCCTCGCACATTAATATGCACTTAATAAAATGACTGATCCTGGCTCCCCTGCACATAATCAAGACGACAGGAATCCCTTCTCATCATCAGTGACACTAACTGAGTTCCAACCTAAAGTTTCTTTCTTACCCCTGCTTCATATCCAGAGAAGTCTGGTTGGCCAAGTAAAATGTCAGAGCAATTTAGGAGCTGAAGATAGCAGTTTCACTTCTGGTGTCACTACACAACTAAATGTTGGAAGGGTTGCAAGCAAAATAATGTCCTGAAGACAGACTGTAGGATGGATAGTGGCATCCCCTGAGTCAATAAACCCCTTTAAAAAAAAATAAAAAGTGCAGTATAAGCTCCAGGTTTAAAAATCATGTCTAACTTTGTTTTTTCATAAACTAAGAACTCTTATTTTCACACTGGCTATAGTCTCATAGAAAGAAACAAGACAAATTAAAATAGACCAAGTTTTTTTTAAATACCAAAAATATAATTTTCAATGCTTCGATGCTTCTCAAATAATTTAGTTTGGGAAACATTTCTCAGTCTTCATCCAAAAGATGACTTCAGAAAATTTTTTTTTAAAAGTTTATTCAACAGTTATCAAAACCACATAAACATAGTGACCAGCTAACTACAATGAACATTCATTCCCCAACCAAAACACAGCAATTTAATTGAGCTCAGCTCATTTAAAATTTAAAAACAAAAACAACCCTTTTCAAGCTTCATGGATGAGAGGTATGTCGTTCAATTACATTTACATATGGTTAAGTTGGGAAAGATGGAAAGTGATTTGAAGATTGTAGTGCTAAGAAATATCTCATTTTCCTAACTGACAGACACAGGGGAAAAGAGTGCTACAGATATTGCGGTCAAACTGTATTTACTTTCAAATTCACACAGTAAAGTAAATATTGTTGATCTTAGGTTCAGGGACATTCCCACTGTGTTTACTTTAAATGATTAAACATTAATAAAAAAAGGGAAGGAGAACAACCCCCTTGGTTCTCTTCTATTTATGAAATGAAAGAACTGCATTAAGATAATGAGCATGTACATATGTGTATAAGGGAATTCACTGGGATTTCTTACCAAGCCAGAATGAGAGGTACCATATGCATCAAGCCAACGCTTGACTCAAAAACTGTGGATACCTCTCCATTTCATTCAGGCACCTACCTATTCCTTGAGATGTCTAAGCATTAAATTGCATAATTCCAAAACCTAATTATCCAAATGCTCTAGAACTGTAGTTCAACATTCAAACAAAGGCTAATGATACACTCCTCCACTGGTTGGTCTGTTTTTTCTTAAAACAACAAAACCCTAAAACCTCAAATTGGCGGATGAAATAAAAATCTTATATTTACCAGGCCGGTTTTAGTGTAATCACACTGCACATAATCTTCAAACGTCAGTAATTCATGCATTAATATAAGCCATTTCTCATATGGTTGGATTTTTTATTTCTTGAATTGTAAGTTTGGAACTTATAGCCTCTGGGCTCTCTCACCATACAAAGAATTCTCCAAAGAGGAGGGAAAGAGAGATTGGGTTTGGCTTAGAAAATGAATTAAGTCCATAAGGCATCTACTAATATGAAAAGTGGTTTTGAGCCCACCACCAATCTCAGTGTATTAGACAAGATAAAGAAACAGCTTTTCTGGAATGATCTCAGGTGACATTCAAATAACTTTTTAACAAAATACAGTCTTGAGGAGGCTGCTTTTTTGTTATAAACACCACTGTGCAGGTGTCCAGGCTAATTCTCAAACCTCCAAATCTGATTTTTATCACCAGTGTTACAAGTTCTCATTTGTACATCAGGCCGCCCCTCTGATGTACGGTAGGCACTCAGACACATGCCAGACTGGGGATGATAAACTGTTCCATCTTCTTTAAAGTGCCAAATAATCTCTTCAGGAACAGAGGACCCCTGCTTAGGACAGTACTGCATGCCAACATAATTGTTCTGCTTGGGGACCATCACACATAATTCCGTCTGGACACTAAAGCGTAACTCTTTCTTTAAGGTGTACTCGAAAAACTGATTGCCTCCTTGCCCGTGACATCCAAACAGAGACAGATGAGCTGCTGTGGGATCATGTTCTGGACATTTGTAATCGAGACATTGCGAAGAGATTCCTGTACTTTGAATGGCCCCGTGCCAGCCTGGCCGATCCTCTGGCACACTCAATGTAGGAAATACATTTTTCAAATACCAGTCAAAACTCTTGCAATTCAACCGTTTTCTCAATAATTTTCTTTCGGACACATCACCGTAATTTACCTTCCTTGCTAAAGGGTTTCGATTATAAAAGTGCTCTTTATATTCATCCATCCACACCTCTGCTGCCCGGACTGTGTTCTGTGGGAAATTAGGCCTGGCGTAGGGGGCTCGCTTCGGGAAAACGTGCCCTACGTGGGAACAGGGGTGAATCTCCAGGGCTCCTCCACACTGCCAAACTCTGAATGACAACTCCAAGTTCTCACCACCCCATACTTCCATCCCTGTGTCGTAAGTACCGAGGTACTCAAAATACTTTTTACTGACGGCAAATAGCCCTCCTGCCATAACGGGGGATCTGATGGGGTCAATTCTGGATTTCCACCTTCTCTTTTCATGCTCAGGGACTGCCTGCCACAGGAATGTCAAGTGCCAATCAAATCCCCCAATTACTGGCTCCCCTTCCTGCATGTAAAAGTCAAACGTATTCCAATCAATTGTGTCTATAACAGGACAAATGATCACGGATTCATCTTGACTAATCCTCTCCAAGAGAGGTTCCAACCACCCTGAGCTACACTCACAGTGACAGTCTAGGAACGTGAGCACTTCCCCAGTGGCAAAAGTCGCTCCAATGAGGCGGGCTCTGACCAGCCCCTCCCGCTTCTTGGTCCTAATTAAACGGACTCTTTGCAGATTGCTGATGTAGGTTTCCAGCTGTGCCTTCAAGTACACTTTATCACTTAAGTCGTCGACCAGGATAATCTCCTTCAGGAGGACCGCAGGGGAAGTCTCGAGGACACTGTGGACTGTCCGCAGCAAGGTGGACCAGGCTTCGTTGTAGAAGGTGATGATGACCGAGGTAGTGGGCAGCCTGCGGTACTCGTAGGTCTTGAGCCGGCACTCGTACATGCGATCATCCCGGATGTGCCGGTGCAGGGAGATTTTGTCACTCAGGTAAATGTTAATGGCATACCTTTCGGTGAGCTCTTCCGCCCGCTTCTCCTCCTCCCCCTGGAGCTGGAGGTGGCTCGCGTCTCCCCACTCCCCCAGGGCCCCGGGGTCCGGCGGGGGCTTGGCGTACAGGGGCTGGGCCAAGTCTTCCGCTTTCCCCCCGGGGCCAGGTACGCCTCTCTCCCACCTGCCGGCGGTGAAGATGTCCTCAGCAGGGGCGCGCCGAGAGGCCACGGACAGCTCCACGAGCGCATAAGCCACCACGAGGGCGCCCAGCAGCAGGCAGCCCCGGCCGAGCCAAGCCCACCTGGCTGACACGCGCACCTTCATGGTCACTGGCGCGCGCCCGCCCGGGCTGCCCAAAGTCCAGCCCGCCGCCCGAAAAGTTTGTGCGGCTGCTGGGAGGGGCTGGGGGCCGCCCCACGCGCGGCAGGAGCCCCGAGCCCAAACTCCCGGGGGCTCACTACTTCCTCCTGCGCGCCTGGTAACTTCGGGTCACACTCACTCACACACGCACACTTGCACACACGCAGGCGCGCACAGGACACAGAAACCCGCCTTCTTCCCGAGCCTGACCCCTCCCTCGGCCCTCCCCGGGCGGGGCCCCGGGTCTGGGCTCCAGCTGCGTCTCCAGCTGTGCGGGGAGGGGAGGGAGCGCACCCCCAACTCTATCCCCCCACAGAAAGGCTGGCTCCATCCCGAAGTCACTCCCACCCCCCTCCCCAGCCCAGGAGGGGGAGGAGCTTTTCCCAGCCCTGGACCCTGAGGAAATACCCCTCCCGGCCCCCCACCCCACTCCCAGGCTCCCATTGTCCATCCCACCCTGGGCCGGAAATCTCCCGGCTGGGTCAAGTTCAAGTGCGTGGATCTCAAACTGGCAGTTCTTAAAGGATTATTGCTTTAGAGCTGGAAAGACTTTAAGGTCAAGTCCAAACTCATCATTCTACAGATGAGGAAACTGAGGCACAGAGGCTTGCTAAGGTTAGAGCAAGTGTGCCACAAAACCTAGTTCAGAGCTGGAAGGGGCTCTGCCGTGAAATGCAAACCCCTGTTTTCCAGATGAGGAAACTGAGGCACAGGGACTGCAGGGATCTTGCTCCGGGTCCCACAGCTAGAGAGTGTCCCGGGCCAGATTTTAACCCCGCCCCTTTCTGATTCCAAGTTCCCGGCTCGGTCCTTTACACTAAGCTACCTCTCCATTTGTACAGAAGTTAAAAACACAAAAACAAAAACAAAAACCAGGGAGGGGTACATGATACTTACCAAGTCGTTTGCCATTGGGGCTGAAATCCACACTGGTCACTGCAGCTTTATGGCCTTTGAAATAACGCTCCAAAATTGGATCCTCCTGGAAGCAGAGGTCACCCAGGTTTTCAAAGGGGGCCCGATTTCATTCAGGAATGAAATTCACTTTTCAATCACCCACCCAGCCATTCAATAAACTGCCAGCAAACAGGGGAGCGCCCTCCCCCCCAGCCCTGCGGTTTACAAAGCAGCCCCAGTAAAAGAAAGAGCAGCTTCCACACTCCAGGCCTTTTCACAGAAAGCTCCCCCTGGCAAAACTGGAGGCAAGGGGTGGATCCAGTTAAGTACCCTTTTACCTTCCCCCTAGGTGGAGTGGGCTTTGGAATGAGGAAGTTCTGTGTTTCTCAGGGCCTCGGTTTCTTTATCTGTAAAATGAAGCAGTTTTTTCTGTCCTGTCTGACTCTTTGTGACCCCTTTTGGGGTTTTCTTGGCAAAGATGCTGGAGTGGTTTGCCATTTCCTTCTCCAACTCATTTTTTTATAGATGAGGAAACTGAGGCACATAGGGTTAAGTGACTTGTCCAGGGTCACACAGTGTCTGAAGCTGGATTTGAACCCAGGTCTTACAGACTCCAGGCTCAGAGCTCTATAGCTGCCCCATCTTTATACAGGCCTAGGAAGGTGTCTTGACTAACCTAAAGTCACACAGGTAGATAAGATTTGAACCTAAATCTTCTAAGTCTTAAAAAAACAAACAAAACCCCCCACCAACAACTTTTCTCCTTTTACAACCAGATTGGAAGGGCTACTGACTCCAAATTCAAGGGAAAGAACAAATCCCTTCCCCTCCTCGGACTCAGTCTCCCTCCTATGTAAATAACTCACAAAACAAGCATTTCCTCCCAAAGAAGCCTCAGATAGTAGTACAAAGTGAGGGGGTTCAACCAGACCAGCAGTTTCTAACCCTTTTTGCAGCATGGCCTCTCTCTGGCAGAATCTGGCGATGTCTCTGCATCCCTCCTCAGAGCTATGTTGTGGTTTTTTTTTGAGCTATGTTTTTAAATAATTCAATGAAAGGCAGGTAGAAGTTAGTGAAAATGAAGATGTAATTTTTTTTCCTATCCTTGTTCAAAGATCCCTTGAAATCTATCCACACTGCCCTTAAGAGTCCATGGACCACGGATGGGTTAAGAACCCCTGGACTAAGTGATGGCTAAGCTCCCCTGAAGCTCTAAGTCCTATGGGTTTCCTTCTAGCTTCAGTCTGCAATGGTACTAACCCGGAGGATGCTTCTGGGGCTGAGGCAATCTCCTCTAGGGGATGGCTTGGAGGGTATAGCTGCTGGTCCAGGGTTAGAGTTTGGGAGGACAGATACAATTAATAATTGGAAGACATATTTTTTGGTCATTCAACAAGCATTTATTAAACACTTACTATCTTTGTCAATCCTTGTGCAGACTGGGGATACAAAGAGAAAGCAAAAACCGTCCCTGCCCCCCCAAAAGCTTTCATTCTAATGAAAGTAACAGCATTTCGATACATTTGACTTTTATTTGAAGAAGGAGCCAGTAAGTGGAGGACTGGGTTCAAGTCTGGCTTTTGCCACTGACTCAATAAGAAACACTGGGCAAAGCACTTCCACTCTCTAGCCTCAGTTTCCCCATCTGTAAAACAGGAGAGTTGGACTAGAACTGGAAAGTTTCTTCCCAGCTCTAAGTCAGCAGGTTCTATGAGGTCCCCTGTAGTGTCAGACTATGACAAACATCCACCAGCAGAGGATTCTGAGGCTGAAACAATGGGCAGGCCCAGGTCCTGATGTCCATTCAAAGAGATCTGTCTTAAAGGGATTCGGAGTCCCAGCTCTTTGGGCAAGGAACCTCCTCTCCCTTTAAGTCCTAGCTAAAATCCTACCTTCTGAAGGAAGCCTTCCCCCACCCCTCTTAATTCTACCCTTCCTCTGCTAATTGCTTCCTATTTATCCCCAACAATAGCTACCTTGTACTTGTAGTCTTCTACCCTTAGATAAAGTTCCTAGAAGACAGGGATTGTCTTTGGCCTTTCTTTGTTATGACCAACACTTAGCACAGTACCAGGCAAACAGTAAGTGTTTCATAAATGTGTATTCCCTTTCTCCCTTTGTAGTGTTTGTCCATAGTTGTTTGCACATTGTCTCCCCCAGTAGACTGTAAACTCCTAGAGGACAGAGATTGTCTTTGGCCCTTCTTGGTATCACCAACACTTAGTACTTGTCAAACAGTAAGTGTTTAATAAATGCTTATTCCCTTTCTCCCTTTGTAGTGTTTGTCCATAGTTGTTTGCACATTGTCTCCCCCAGTAGACTGTAAACTCCTAGAGGACAGAGATTGTCTCTGGCCCTTCTTGGTATCACCAACACTTAGTACTTGGCAAACAGTAAGTGTTTAATAAATGCTTATTCCCTTTCTCCCTTTGTAGTGTTTGTCCATAGTTGTCTGCTTGTTTTCTCCCCCATTAGATTGTAAGCTCCCTGAGGGCAGGGACTGCCTTTGGCCTTTCTTAGCTTAGCACAGTGCAGGGTACCTAGTAGGTACTTAATAAGTGTTGATCAACTGACACCCACGGTCTCCATTTCTTTCTCTGCAAAAATCAGAGGGCTGGACTGGAGGACCCCCAACATCCCTTCTGGCTTGAAAGCTCTCATCCTGAGGATTCTGGCTCACAGCGCAGAGACCTTAGGAAAGTCCCGTGTGCCTCGGTTTCCCCCCTGTAAAACAAGCGGGCTGGATGGACTAGCCGACCCCTCCGACCCTTCTGGCCGCGAACCCGTGACCCTCGGACCCGGGCTTTGCCGCAACTTGCGGTGTGTCCCTGGGAAAGCCGCCAGGCCGCCCGTGCCTCAGTTTCCCTCCTCGTCCAGGAGGCGGGGCTGAGCAGAGGGCCTCCCGGCTCCGAGCCTCAGTTTCCCCGCTTGTCCTAGCCGGGGCGGGGCTGTTGCTCCGGAGCCCCGGGGTCCGCCCCGCCCCCGCCCCCCAGATCCGCCCTCCGCCCCATCCCCCCGCCCGGTCGGTCCGTCCTTACCGGGGCGAAGGCCATGGGGACGCGGCCGCGCCGACGCCGGGAGGGGGGAGGGGAGGGAAGGGGAGGGCAGGGACGGGGGCGGGCACGGCGGGCGGAACCGTGCGGGGCCCGGAACCGTTTGGCGGCGGCCGCGGCGTGGGCCCGTCACAACAACGACGGCGGCCCAGTCAAACCCCCCGCGCTCCAGCCCCGGCGAGGCGAGCCCCGATCGCACCCTGGCCCCATTGGCCGCCTTCGCTTCCGGCCCGTGGCGTCAGCGGCCGCCCCGAGGCCCGCGATTGGCTCGGGTTCGTCCCCCTGGCGAACTGATGCGGCGCTAGGACCCGGCGGGAGCCCGCGCTGAGAACCGAGGGGAAGGCGGAAGGTGAAGCGGGAGTTGTTGGGATCGACGCGATCGGCGATCGATTCTGCGTTAAAGGGAACGGGTCGGTGCGGGAGGGGCTCGAAAGCGGCCCTCGCCCTTCCCATTACAGACGGGGAAACTGAGGCCCAGAGTGGGGAAGTCGCCAGCCTGAAGGGCCCAGGTAAATATCAGAGCCGGTGTGCAATCTCAGGTTCTCTGACTTCAAATCCAGGACTCTTCCCATTACACCACACCGCCCCTGCCACCCTTCTCCATCCTCCCCCTCTCCCTCCCTCCCTCCCTCCCTCCCTCTTCCCTCCTCCCATCCCTTCTCCCCGTCTCTCCCCTCTCTCTTCCTCTCTTCCATCCATCTTCCTTCTCCCATCCCTCCTCCTCATCTCCCATCCCCTTTTTCCTCCCATCCTTCCACCCCTCCCCCTATTCCTCCCCAGTCTCTTCCATCCCTCTTCCTCCTTCCTCCTCCCATCCCTCCTCCCCATCCCTCCTCTCTCTGCTCGCCATTCACCTCCTCTCCCTTCTCCCCAACCCTCCCTCTCCTTCCCTCCTCACCCTCCCTCTTCCCCTCTCTATCCCCTCGCTGCCCCATTTCCCCCCTCTCTTTTTTCTCATCTCCCCTGTCAGTCCTCCTCCTTCGGCCCTCCCTTCCCTTATCCATCTCTTCCTTTTTCCCTCCCTCCTTCCCTTCTTCCTTCCTTCCCTCATTCCTCCTCCCCTCTCTTATTCCTTCCCCTCAATTTTTCTTCCTTCCTCTATCCCTCCTCCATCCACCTTTCCTCTTCCTTGTTCTCTCCCTCCTATTTCTCTTTTACCTTCTTTCCCTACTTCATTTCTTCATCCTCTTTTCTCCCTCCTCCTCCATCTCCCCTTCCTTCATCTCTCCTCCCTCGTCTCCCTTGCCAGTCTTCCCCTCTCTCTTTCCTTCTCTCCCCCCTCTCTCTTTGCATCTCTGTCTCTCCTCTTCTTCAACCTTCCCTCCATCCTTCTATCCTCTTCTCCTCCCTCCCTCCCTCATCACTCCTGCCCACCTTCCTGCCCTCACTTTGCTGTCTCTCCCTTTCCATTTAGTCTCTAGAGACAAAAATTCCCACTAAAGATCCTGCCCCTCAGCACCTTGAGGACAGTAATAGTAACAATTAAGAGGTAGCATGCATGTTCTTAAAGCCAGGAAGACCTGGATTCAAGTCCTGCCTCTGACATCGCTTGGCCGTGTAAGTCTGGACAAGTCACCTCTCAATGTTCTCCAAAAGTATAAGTTACAGAAAAGGTGTCAACCTGTGTCCCCTCACTCCGATGATCCCTATGCCTATTAAATCACAAGTGCAATCCCTGTCCGCTAATAATAATTACCATTTGTATAGCACTTTAGGTTTGAAAAATATTTTTACCTATTTTGACCCTCACAGGTTGGTGCTCTAATTATTTCCATTTTACAGATAAAGAAACTGAGACCAAGACATAAGTGACTTGCCCAGGATGATCATACGTTATAACTCAGATTTGTAAACCTCTTTAGAGGCTATAAAGCACTCAGTGAAGAAAGGATTGTAAATGTTATTGTCTCCATTTTTAAACAGCCAAAGAGAGGAGAAGGACCCAAGACCCAAGTCTAGGGTAATTGTTAGAGGGAGGATTTGAACCCAGGCCTTCCATTCCCATGTCTGGAGTTTCTTCAGGTACTTCTCTACATATTTAAAAAAAAAACCCTTCCTCCTGAGCCACAGCTGATCCTTTGCAACTTTTGTCTATGGGAGAAAAGAAACATTTTAAAAGTTGTCTGGATCTGATTTTTAACATTCCCTCTCCTTCCATTCTTTTGCCTATTTTACTTGGTCACCTCCCCTAGTGTCCTAGAATATTGTTCATTTCTTTCCTCACTTTGAGGTTAAACCTTTTTGGAGTTTTAAGTAAAGGGAGAAAAGTGTCTACAAATTACTTCAGGCTTTTTTCTCCTACTGTAGTAGATTTCAGCTTACAATAGATATGTTCTGTTTGTTGTTCGTTCTTTCTTTCCTTTTTTCTTTTGGTGAGGAAATCAGGGGTAAGTGACTTGCCCAGGGTCACACAGCTAGTAAGTGTCAAGTGTCTAAAGGACAAATTTGAACTCAGGTCCTCTTGACTCTAGGGCCAATGCTGTGTCCACTGCGCCATCTAGCTGCCCCCATCCTTTGTTTTCTCAGCAGACCAGTGACATCATGGGTCAATGTCTCGACTTTCAAGTGAATTAGATTTAAGTGAGGCAGAGGGGCACAAAGTCCTCAGCCTCACTCTCTTTCCCAGAGTCATGGAAGTCCAGTGGCAGGACAAAAGTTAGAGAAACGTTCCCTACATAGATGGGCACATTCTAGCTTATACAATGATATCTCTATTAGCGTGAACGCCACAGATTCCCAACTGGCTCAGTTGGGCTTTACGGATAGGAATGGGAGCCATGGAGTGGTAAAGGTAGGCAAACACTCTCTTCCAATTGAAATGGACATCTCAGCAGCTCATCAAATGAGACAATTGCCCAGAGCACTGACAAGTGAAATGACTTGCGCAAGGTCACACAGCCAGGCTATGGCTGAAGCAGGAGATGAACTTGGGTGTTCTTGACTTTGAGACTGGCTCTCTGTCCACTCCTCATGGGTACAGCTTGAGGTAGAGGAAAATGGCACTCCTCTTCATTTGGTACCTTTAATTTCACTCTCCCATTTTGGAGTGGGGGCAGACCAGCCCAGTGGGTGCAGAGTACCTCAACTCATCTTCGACTTTTCTGTTCCTCTCTTCCTACTGTCCAAAGAGCAAAGTAGGAGGTGGGGATATGTGGTCACTCATGGATCTGTAGGAAAACACCATCTAGGTTTCAAGTGTTGCTGGGGAAACCACTTGGTTTTTCTGATTCATAATCACAATAGTTGAATTTCTGAAGAATCACATCCACATTATTAAGGATTTTGTATCCGTCTTCATGAAGAGGAGTCAGATGTCAACAAGATACTGTTGAGACCCCCTTACTCAACTAGTCACCGTAAATTAGTCCTTGTCATTATAATTTTAGAGGCAGCATGAAGGACTGGACAGAGGGTCAGGAAATGGATTCTGACACATGTAATACTGGGTAAAGAATTTTATTTCCCCCCCTTTTTTTTTGAGGCAGAGTTAAGTGACTTGCCCAGCGTCACACGGCTATAAGTGTCTGAGGACAGATTTGAACTCCGGTTCTTTCTGACTCCCGGGCTAGTGCTCTATCCACTGTGCCACCTAACTGACCCTAAATCATTTTGTTTCTCAGTGCCCTCCTAGCAGCCTTCAAAGACTAGAAGTTATTAGACGGATTGCCAGTCTGCATGGGGGAAGGAAGTTTGCACAGCCTTGATCTCTGCACACCAATGAAATCCTAGGTCCAGGCCAAATACATAGATACAAAACATTCCACCTCCCGTTGTCCTAAGGCTGAAAAATTAAATTTCTTAGCTCTGGCAGTTTAATCAATGAATTTACTTTAGCTAGATCTTGAAAGAAGCGCCTTCAAAATTCGACTATTCATTTATGATACAAAAGCGCCATCTACTGTTGAGAGCTCCATATGACACCTTCAAGGGGGTACTATTTGATCCACGTAATTTGATTTTCTTAGAATCCCGACACAGAGTGGGAGGGGACCTGAGAGGTCATTTAGTCCAGTCCCCTGTAACCCCTACCATGTATTATATGATCCCCAGTCTGAGAAGTAATGATCATAATGACTGACATCTAATGCCTTAAGATGCCAGTTATATACAAAGCCATTTAGCAACAGTCCATGAATAATCAGCAAGCATTTATTAGGCACCTAAGTGCTGAGGATGCAAGGAAAGAAAAATGCAGTCCTTGCCCTCAAGGAGCTGATATTCTAAAGTGGGGGAACTCCAAGCAAATGACTGTATACGTGCAAGATAGATAGGAGTATAAATGGGAGGGAACCTTGGGGGAAAAATATTTGTAAGGCGTAAATAAGAGAGAGGCAGCTAGGGGGTGCCATGGTGCACAGAGCACCAGGCCTGGAGTCAGGAAGACTCATTTTCATGAGTTCAAATCCGGCCTCAGACACTTACTAGCCGTGTGACCCTGGGCAAGTCACTTTGCCCTGTTTGCCTCAGTTTCCTCATCTGTAAAATGAGCTGGAGAAGGAAATGGCACACCATTCTAACATCTTGGCCAAGAAAACCCCGAACGGGGTCATGAAGAGTTGGATATGACTAAATAAGAACAAAAGTGAGGGGAGGAGGGGGCATAGGAAGGGGGAAGGCTTGGCACAGAAGGCATGATTTGTTCTGAGTCTCAAAGGAAACCAGGGGAGCAAGGAAGAGGAGGAGGTGAGAAGGGGAGAGCTTTCCAGGATACGAAACATGCCCAGAGGTGGGAGATGGGGGGAGGGGGTCCTGTTAGATGAATAGCAAAGAGGAACAGAGGGAGACCTGAGAAGAGGAGAAAGGGCTGGGAGTGATTAGGAAGAGGGACAGAGAATGCAGGGTGGAGATGAATGCACTGGTAAATGTTTAACAACTGGCTGACCAGGAAAAATACATAAGCAAGACAGACTTAAGTTCAATCTGCATTATTACTATTATCTCCATCACTCTCTTAAGTCTTGAAAGTCAGCAACAACAAAAAAATAAGTCATGATTTGGAACATTTACCAATTTCTGAGGTGTGAACGTTCGTAGTGAAAATTTAACAATCGGCTCTCAAGAGCTGGTAGGAGTTGGTTCTAGTATACCACTGGATGAAGAGGTAGGCAGGAGGGGGAAAGGGACAGAAAAGAAGGGAGGAACAATGGGGAGGATGACAGACTGTGTGAAATGTTGTAGATTGGCCCTCACATTTGTGAAAAGAAACTAGGCCGACTAAGTCCATCCCAGGACTGAAGAGAAAAAGAGGAGGCCGAGGTTGCCAAATATTCTGCACAGATCTAAGTGTGAGCAGGGAGTCAGACATACTCCCTAGAGGCGGGTGCTGTGCTGTGCTGAGTCTACAGCTGAATGCTTTGGGGGAGGGGGTAGGAAGAAAGCAGCATAGTGATGGTCTTGGGAACTCCCAACCTGATGGAAGTGACTTATTTGCAGGAATATAAGTAAGGCTGGGGAAGTCCCAGAGTTTGTGGGTGGGCCAGACTCCCAGGTGTCAGAGCAGCTGTAGGGA